GGGTGCAGAGGGAGCGACACGCCCTTGAGGGAGAGGCCCGCGGTACAGAGAGAATCGGAGACAGGCGGGGAGATGGAGGCAGATCGGAGACCAAGTCAACCGCGGAGACGTCGGGAGAGCCCGCAGCGGAGAGGGGCGGGGGCCAGACGGCGCGGGAACCCGGGGCAGCCGGCCGAGGGACGCTAAGCCCCCGAGGGGCGCGGGGAGCAGCGCCCCGCGGCGGCCGGACGCCGGGCGGGCGCGGGCCGGGGAGGGATGCGCACCTACCTGCGCGCCGGCTCCACGGGGCGGGCGGCGGCGGTCCCGGCGGCGGCGGGGTCTGGGCTCGACGGTGGCCCGGGACCCAGCGGCGACTCCTCCCGACCGAGGCCCCGCCCCGGCCAGGCCCGCCCCCCCCGTTAACCCCTCCTTTGTCGCTCCCCTTAACCCCTTTAAGCCTTCGCCCCACTGAAGACTTCCAGCGCAAGGAGAACCCGCACCTGCTGCTGGAGCCCCTCCCCCGCACACCCGCCCCGCAGAGCCACCTGCCGGGGTGCCCGCAGGTCATTAACGCCTTTGCTCACTCTCCCTCCAGCCCGCACCTCCGATTTGATCAAGCCCCCAGCTGGGGGGCAGGGGGGCTCCCCTTTGGACTCTCCTTGAGCTGAGCCATTTCCTCCCTCGGAGACCCCACGCCTGGGAGGTCACAGGCCCCACAGGGACAGGACACCGGGCTCTGCCCGGTCCCCACTGCCAGGGCCTGGCCGCCCCCCGGAAGGAGTTTGGGGCTGGCAGTCCCGCCCTGCCTCTGGATCAGGCCTCAGCTGGGGACCTCTGGGCACCTGTTTCCTCTCCTGCCATTATGGTCACAGGGCAGTCCCTCTGTCATGGGGATGTCATTTGGAGGTGTCAGCACCATCACGTTTGTAAAACAGGCCCCCCAGCTCCCATTCCTCCTTGCTTTGTTTACTCTTCCCCACAGAACTTGTCACGGTCCGATGTCCTATGCATCTCATTTATTTTCTCCTAATGATCCGCCTCCCCCAGGAGGAGTGTAACTTGTCATTTTTGTGGCTGATTTGCATACGGTGGTGTCTGTTGCCTGGAAGCCCCCCACCTCCACCCCCTACACACACACACACACACACACACACACACCCGTGCACGTGGTAGGTGTGCAATGCGCATGGTGTTCAGGGAGCAAGTACATGAATGGTGAGCGCGCCCAACAGGTTTGCTTATTTTTATGATTCTCGTCACCACCAACTGGTCGTGAGAATTCATTCTAGGTCAAAGCACTCCGTCCGCACAGACCTGGGAGGTCGGACTCAAAAATGGCAGCTATTGGGTTTGCAAATGCTTTTTTGCTTATTTGTTGTTGTTGTTTTTTTAATAAAAAGAATGCCCGGATCTTAAATACAATGAGTTGTGACCAACAGATACACCCATGTGACTAAGCATTCAAATCAAGACGGAGAACATTTCCATCACCCAGAACGTGGCTCTTCCCCCCTTTCCAGGCATTGCTCACAGGCTGCTCGCCCCCGCCCCCCCCCACCAGGCAACTCTGTGCTTCCTTTTCTCACGGGAGATTACTGTTACCTATTCTAGAACTTCATATAAATGAAGTGATTCAGTTGTTGTTTTAAAGGCTGCTATTTCAGTCATTTGCTGTGTGCCTTTGGACAAGTGACTACACCTCTCTGAGCCATATCACCGCCTTCTTCCCAGGGCTCTTGAGGGAAACAGAAAGTGAGAGTTAACCAAGGACCTAAGTGACCTGCAACACAGACATAATAAAGGCTGTTTCCTTCTACCCTCCCTCCAGGGACAGTCAGGGACAGATCCAAGGAAGGTGTCCTGAAGGCTTTTAGCCCCTCCCCCAAAATAACCCCATATACATCCTGTCAGCTGCAGGACAAGCCCCCCATAGCCCTCCTCAGCCCCGTGGCCACCCCAAGCTTTTCCTAAAGAGAAATTCTGGGCCTCACTGGTAGCCAAGCGTCCCCCATTCCCTCCTGGGCTCGCCCTAAGTTTATGCTGTGATTCAGTCAGGTTCCTGGCAGGAAACAGGTGGCCACTCAAAGAGTTTAAGTGGCAGCACTTACATCTATTTTTATTATTGATTTGAGAAAGTAGCATTGATCTGTTGTCCCACGTGTTTATGCATCCATCGGTTGATCCTTGTGTGTGCCCTGATTGAACCCTCAACCAGCTGAGCTACCCCACCAGGGCTAGGTGGCAACACTTACAAAAGGGATGTTTTCGAGGGATGGCCAGAGTGCAGGACCCCACAGAGGATGGTGCGTTACCAGGGGACCAGCCTCAGGGAAAGCCAAGCCATTGCTACCCTTTGGACAAAGTTAGAATTTGGAGGAGCTGTGGCTGTAGGTACAGGAACTCGGCCCCTGCAAGAAGGGCAGGGATGCAGAGGCCGGAAAAGAAACACTCCCACCTCCCGCCTGCTACCCTCGGATTTCCGGTCAGTGCCTCTGAGAGGCAGAACCCGACCCAGAAGGCGGAGGGCAGGGGACCCTCGTGGGCGGAGTCCGCACGGGATAGTCTCCCAGGTCCCTGGGGTGGGGGCAGGTGGAGAATTACCAGCGGGATCCCCGCAGAACTTTCCAGGCACATTTTTTTTTCCATGCAGGTTTGAGGCTGGGCACAAGGGGGCGACAATGCTCTAAGAGGCCCAATGAAGAGGCTGCTTCAAAAGCACTGACTTCCCCAGAACTTGAACTACCAGGAGAGGGTTTGGGTTTCTCCCGCAGGATTTCCTTCCCCTGGGAAGAGATGGGCTTGGTAAGCTGTCCCTGTGGAACTGCGAGGCCCTGAGCTTTCCGTCCGGTATCATCTGTGAAGGGGACAAAATGACTATGTACCATTCTGTCCGGGAAAACCCTAGGTTTGCTATCTTATTCTATTTCCGTTAGAGCAGAGGTTCTCAAACTGTGGTCCCTGATGGGGGCTTGGGGGCGCTGCATTGCCATGATAACAAGGCCTGCAGGCGATTCTCGTGTTCCTTCAAGTTTGGGAACTACTCAACTAGTGAAAAAAAATCTGCCTCAAACATAAAAAAATATATAGATGTAATTAGATAGCTGTCAGTTATCTTGGCTACAAAAGATAAAATCAGAATAACTCAATTCCCATCCCATAATATATTTACCCCTATGGTGTGGTAAGTCAGGGTAGTGGTTACCAGGAGGGGGCACAAGAGGGCTTGGGGGGGCGGGGCTTGTGATATTTCTCCAGCTGGGAGCTGGCTGCATGGATGGGTTGTGAATCCAGCAGACTAGTTTATGAGTGCCTGTCTCTGCCGTATGTTAAACACCAATAAAAAGTTAAATATTTGCTCAAGGTTACAGATACTGAGTTGAGAAATTCCTGATGACATTTGAGCTGGTCCAGCTGGGTCCCTCCTAGGCTACCCAGTTCCAGGACCTGGCAACTTTTTATTGTTTAATGCTGGGTGGAGTTGGGTTTCTGTCTCTTGCCAACCAGAGTCCTCATACCCTAACTCACAGGCACCTTTTGTCGTAGGCCCACTTCTCTGAAATCTGAAAACATTTCTTGCCTTATTTCAATCTTGTGAAATAGGTGGAAGCTTCCATGGTTTTATACAAATCCACCTCCCTGATCACAATCATTGGTCTAGGACTGGTACTTCACCCAAGTGGAGCCAATCACAATAGACCATCCAACAAGTCAGTTTGATTGATCTGTAGATGGGCCAATCACAATCTTTCCCTGGGATTTTTTTGGCCTTGGGGCCCAAGGCTGGTTGATGTGAGCTTGCAGCTGCTGGGTGCAATGTTTCTGTGGTGTGGAGAATGCTGATCCCAGAGAAAAATGATGACTGGCAGGTAAGAAAAGGTATAATGGGAGTGTCCCGGTGGCCCTCAAATTCTTGGTTCAATGGCCCTGAAGCCCAGAGGCACTGACTTGTTTACTTGAGGGTCAATTGAGTTCTCTTTTGGCCTAAGTTAGAGCAAGCTTGGTTTCTGTCACTTGTATACAATAAAGACCTAAGTAATAACGGTCCCTCATCAAACACTGTAATCCATGCACACACACATCCCTCATTCACACCAGCCTATAGACACACTCAATCCATGACACACCACCTCAGTGCACATGTCTTTATTTCTGGATGATATAAAAGAATAAACTTAAAAAACACCCCAAACCAAGCACCCTAATGGCTCCCCCAAAACAATGTGACCCCTCTTCCCACCCTGATAAATAGAGACTTCTGTCTGTCGGTCCACCCTCCCAACGCCATAACCCTCTCTGCTATAGACATACTCTGGGTATATATTACTCTACTCGGCAATAGACATCTCCCGAAAATAGAATTCCAGCCCTGCCACCTGACTCTCCCTCGGCCCCATGTCTCTGGGAACCGCCCTCCCCACCCCCACTTCAGACCACCCGCCACTGCAGTATGCTGGTGTCCTTGCCCCCTGTGGTCAGGGCCATGCTGTCATCCCACAAGAAGGCCACATTTGTCACGTGGCTGCTGTGTCCACCGTATTTGTGGCTGTGGGCCTGCGATAGGGAAAAAAAGGAAGTGAAAGGTCAAAAGGAGCAATGCAACCCCAAATCCTCCCAAGCTAACTCCCCCCTTAAGAACAAGGACAACTGGTCTGATTCCTTCAACAAGCCAATGGCGCGCACAAAAATGAGTGTGCACGTGGGGGAGGCTGTTCTGTATGACAAGACATGAGACACAAGCAAATGCAATGTCTGGACCTTAATTCAAACAAACCAAGTGTAGAAGGCCATTTGGGGGGAAATTAGGAAAATATGAATACAGATCTAATACAGGGTATTAGATTATATTAAAAAATTAATGTTAACCAGTGGATACGAGCATGGATTTGTGAATATGTACGAATTATCTTTATTTTTGAGCTATAAATGCTAATTTGAGAGGCTAAAAGGTCATATATGGTTTTTCTTTTTTTAAGTAAATGCCAAATATGGTAATAGCTGAAAATGGGTAATAGGTACAGAAGGGATCACTGCACTTTTTTTTCACTGCACTCTTTTTTTAAAAAACATATTTTTATTGATTTCAGAGAGGAAGGGAGAGGGAGAGAGAGAGAAAAACATCAATGACGAGAGAGAATCATTGATCGGCTGCCTCCTGCATGCCCCCTACTGGGGATTGAGACCACAACCCGGGCATGTGCCCCCGACTGGAATTGAACCTGGTACCTTTCAGTCCACAGGCCGATGCTCTATCCACTGAGCCGAACTGGCTAGGGCTCTACTTTTATGTCTGCAAATTTCATAATAAAATGCTAAAGCAAATTTCACCTGTTAGAAGCAGGGATTGGTGAAATTAACACCAAGTTTTACGGTAGACACAGGTTATTTGCTGGTGATCTGTAGATGAGTTGAATTTTTCTCAGTGTTGGTAGAAAGATAGTTGCTGACATTCACAAATCGGAGGGATTCACATTAAAATTTTGATTTTCAGCCCAGCCAGTGTGGCTCAGTGGTTGAACATTGACCTATGAACCAGGAGGTCACACTTCAATTCCCAGTCAGGGCACATGCCCCGGTTGCGGGCTCGATCCCCAGTGGGGGACATGCGGGAGGCAGCCAATCCATTATTCTCTTTCATTGATGTTTCCATCTCTCCTCTCCCTTCCTTTCTCTATAAATCAATAAAAACATATTTTTTAAAGATCAATGGAAAAGCCCGGCCAGCGTGGCTCAGTGGCTGAGCATCTACCTATGAACCAGGAGGTCACGGTTCGGTTCCAGGTCAGGGCACATGCCCCGGTTGCGGGCTCATCCCCAGTGTGGGGCGTGCAGGAGGCAGCTGATCGATGATTCTCTCTCATCCTTGATGTTTCTACCTCTTTCTCCCTCTCCCTTCCTCTCTGAAATCAACAAAAATATATTTTTAAAAAATCAATGGAAAAAATATCCTCAGGTGAGGATTTAAAAAAAAAAAATGTCAGCCCTAGCTGGTTTGGCTCAGTGGATAGAGCGTCAGCCTGCGGACTAAAGGGTCCTGGGTTCAATTCCGGTCAAGGGCACATGCCTGGGTTGTGGGCTTGATCCCCAGGGGGGACGTGCAGGAGGCAGCCAATCAATGATTCTCTCTCATCATTGAAGTTTCTATCTCTCTTTCCCTCTCCCTTCCTCTATGAAATCAATAAAAATATATATATATTTTTAAATGTCAGCTCAGTGACCTCACCTGACTTGTTTACTGCTGTACCTATCCCCTGTTCCCAGGCACACAGCAGGTGCTCAGTAAATATTTGTTGAGTTAATAAGGATAAAAGATCTCAAAATTGCAGATGCTCAGAGATTGAGCACTTCAGACTCTGAAATGCATCAACCTTCAGGTTAAGAAAGGCCCTTGGGGTCAAGCCCACTACCCTTCTTACACAGTTGGGGAAACTGAGGCCCAGAGAGGGCTGGTGGTGAACCAGGGCTGCCTCAATCTTGCCCCCATTGTTGCTTGTTACCTCTACCCTGCCAGCCCCCCAGAGAGACTCACTCGAGGCTGACAGCAGGGGTAGCTAAACAGGTGAACTTTGCCAAAGTCATCAGCTGAAGCCAGCAACTTGCCATCATGGGAGCGCGCCACAGCATTGATGTCAGTACCATCCGCTCCCTCGGACCAGATCCCTGTGGGTAAGATAGGGGGGAGTTGGTGGTAAGATGTCAGCAGGAGCCAGGGACCGCCCCCCCCAAAGAGGAACAGGTCCCGGCCCCAGCCCACCCCCCCTTCCTTTCACTCAGCCTGTCTCTAGCCAGGGATGGGAGTCAGAATGATCTTTTGGAAATGTGGATCTGACCCTGACCCCGCAGTGATCAGAATCCTTCATGGCTCCCTGGTGGCCTCAGGAGAAAGCCCAGGCTTCTTACCGTGATCCCCCAAGCTCTGCCTGGCCGGGTCCCCCCACTGCTTCAGCCTTGTCCTCACTAATGTTCCCCTGGAACTCTGCAATGATTTAGCCTTCTTGCATTTCTCCAAATTTCAAGCTCTGTGTCATCTCTGGGCCTCTGTACGTGCTATTATGCCCTTTGCCTAGAGCAGTGGTCGGCAAACCGCGGCTCGCGAGCCACATGCGGCTCTTTGGCCCCTTGAGTGTGGCTCTTCCACAAAATACCACGTGCAGGCGCGCACGTACAGTGCAATTGAAACTTCGTGGCCCATGCACAGAAGTCGGTTTTCGGCCTGGGCGAGTCTATTTTGAAGAAGTGGCGTTAGAAGAAGTGGGGGGTGTCGGTCGGTCGGCTGCGGGATACGCAGTGTTGGGGGGAGGCGCACGCGATTCATGCACGAGTTGAGAATGGGAGAGTTGGAAGGAGTCGACCTCAGCGAACATACCTCAATCAGATTGAGGACGTTTTTAGCAAAGGCCAGCTTAGGAGTACCCTAATTAAGTTAATAACAATGTACCTACCTATATAGTTTAAGTTTAAAAAATTTGGCTCTCAAAAGAAATTTCAATCATTGTACTGTTGATATTTGGCTCTGTTGACTAATGAGTTTGCCAACCACTGGTCTAGAGAAGCATGTCAAACTCGTGGCCCGCGGGCCGTATGCCTCGTTTATTTCGCCCACTAGCCTTTGAGTTTGACATGCTTGGCCTAGAGACTTCTTCGCCGTGCTGGAATATCTCATCCTCCATATTGGATGTCCCTTCCTCCAGGAAGTCCTCCCTGACTCCATCACAGACAGGCCAGACACCACCACTGGGCTTCCTTGTCCCTGCCCAGTCTACTTTGGGCTGTCCAGGGACAGGTCTGTCTCCCCCACCGGACAATAAACACCATGATACCCAGGCTGGGGCCACGGTAGTCACCACCGCATCCCACAGAGGTGCTCAGGAAGTAGTTGCTAACTGCATTAATGCCTGAATAAAGGAGTGGCTGGGGCCTGGGCAGTATAATTCTCTCTGGACCAGGTGCCACCACCCATCTGGTCTCATTACATTACAGGTCCAGGCGGCCTCAGCAGTCATCTAACCGCCCCCCCCCCCCCAACACAGATATTGCCCATAGGGGTAAAAGAGTGAGTTTCCTGCCTGGAGGTAACCAATAGAAAAAAGACTATGAAAGCCACCAGACAGGGATGTTTCTTCAAACGTCTGGGTTCAGTGATCCCTTCCCCATTCCAGAGCTTACCAAACACCCCAAATCCCAGGACACAAGTAGCTGTGGCCCATTCCACGTTCCTCACTTCATCTGCACTGGTGATCTGCTTACAGGTGGCTGAGTCCCCTGGGGCAGAAAATGGGCGGAGGGATTCAGAGTTGAAGAAACTACTGACTTGACCCATCCACGTCATAGATGGGCACTGAGGTCCAAGGCAGGAGGCCAGGGTCCCAGGGCTGATTCCACCTCTCTGGACTGGCCACGGGGGCTGGATTCTGGGTCCTGACACCCCAAAACCTGAGCAGGGGCAGGTGCTTAGAAACCTGGACCCCACCCATTCAACCAGAAAGGGGAGGACTTGATGAAAAGCGGGGTCTACCAGGTAGGAAATCAGAAAGCAGGAAACCAACCCATCAGAACAGCCCCTAAATACAACAGTCAGAGGAGAGAGACTTGCAGAAGCCCATGCCTCTCTCCCCCCTCCCGGAACTCAAGGAAGGCCATGCCAATCACACCGCGCCAATGAGGAGGCTGGAGGGGGAACGCCTTTGGGGTTCAGGGAACTCACAGTACAGAATCTCATAGTCCCCGGAGTTGGTGACGAAGCGGCTGCTGTCCCGGGCCCAGTCCAGGTGGGTGATAAAACTGGAATGGCCCTGCGGGGAGGCAAGGGGCGGAGTTAGAGCTGGAGGGGGCGGGGTGAGGACAGGAAGGATGGCTGGCAAAATACAGAGGCACAGTGAGCACACGAAGGGGCTAAAGGAAGGGTACACAGGGCTTCGGAGCGTGGGGGCGGGGCCAGGCTCCCAGGGGCGGGGCTAGACAGAAAGGGCTTAAAACACAAGGGGAGTTCAGAACATGTGGGCATATAGCTAGACACAGAGGGATGGGCTCTGAATACAAGGGGCTACTGGGCTACACGGAGGGTGCTTAGAACGGGGGGGGGGGGGGCGGGGCTACAAGGGGAGCTTAGAATGTGGGGGGCGGGGCTACACAAAGGGGCGGGCTTAGAACACGATGGGGTGAACGTGTGGGCGGGGCTAAGACTCCTTGAGGTGATCAGGGCAGTCAGTTGAA